AGATACATACATACATAGGTATGTACGTGTATTGAAAGAAAGTTCACCCCGTAAGTTTTATCAGTGAAAACTGATCAGGGAGTGATTATCAAAATGGTTAGGAGAAAGCTACATACAAACACTGTAAATTGTGAATGAATGTCAGAGTCCCCGGTACCATTAGGGTCATACATGGGCTCCAAGGATGATGGTAAACCTGTGCTTTCATGTCATCAGTAATGCGGTGTCTCAATTGTTGTTACACTGAGTCCAACTTTCTCGCAGTAGGACAACCTTCATCAATCACAAAATTTCTTCTATTTCGAACTGCTGTACAATGAGCTACCTTGACGCCAATGAGAATTCAGATTTGGCTATGTTTGCGTAGTCTTTGTGATAGAACCATATTGCTCGTCCAACCGGAGAACTTGAACTCTGCAACTCAAAATGATTGCCTGCAATCTGTCTCGGCTTTCTAGATATCATCAGAATTCTCTTGATTCCCGAATCTTAACATAGGCCTTCCCATTGTTAAAGCTGTGGAAACACAGATAGCTTTCAGGTTTCGATTAGAACATTGAATCTGCCATTGCGTGTGCAGGACACTGTTTTAATCTGTTGAACAAAGATTCCACGAAATGCCAGTCCGTATGTTGTCCGGAGGCGCACCCTTATCGTGGATTTAGACGAGATCTTCCGGGTGAGTTTCACCTCTGCGAATTTCCCCCTCTCTATTGACGAATTGCAACGTAAACAAGTCAGGACTGTAATGTGTAACTGACTTCTTCAAAATGAGCGATCAGTGTGAGTTGTAGTAGAAGGAAATGCAGGAGGGTATTGGGAGATACAGGTATCAGTCATTGCAAGGTACGGTGCTCTCATGCCCCGTCTATCTAGCTAGTCGTTTCGCACCTTGACTCGATCTTAATCCCCACGCCCTGAACGGAATCGTCCGTTTAACGGATGCTTGGGTGGAAGCGGTCACCGGTAAAATATCCAGGTGAGCTCTATGAACAACATCTTCTTTCAGTATACTTGTCAACACGTCCCAGGATCTCCCCCGTGGTTCCCTGTGCCTCCTGCACAGTGTAATCTTGTTTTCTGAATGTTTGAGTTCGAACTTCTCCATCCAAACGCCGACTCGCGGCTACATTCACTGATTCACTGCTAATGCTGAAAGACTCTGTGTACGTGCTAGGACGGGAGGTTTCACGGGAGGATGAGGATGTGATGGGGCGTACCGTGTATACTGAATGTCAAAATAACTCGCACGAAACAAGGACGGTGTCTAGGTGGGGAAGTGGGGGACTGGGGAACTGACTGGGAAATTCCGGGGAACTGGTGGGGAAGTGACGGGGCGACGGGGATGGGAGAAAGAAGAACTAAACCTCGCTAATCTAGTTAACGTTATCCGAGTCCGATACTATCATGTATGTAATACCAGTGGTCTCATTCTGCGGCATCGTCCGTCCTCCCTAGTGAATTCTCAATCGGAGTACTTCCATTCTTCTACCCAATCTTCGGATTCCCCTCCAACATCTTCAGGACCGTCGGGGCCGTCCGGCTTGCAGAGATCCTAGGGCTTGGACCGATACAAAATAAACACAAATAGATGGTAAAATTCGAGGCTTATGAAATAAGGACTGGCTTTTACAATAAACCAAATCGCATTGTCAACGAAGTCGCAGGGTGGAAAACAAGGCGCTCGACAGAAAGAGGCGTCAAGTTCCTCTGCATCGCAGAAAACTGTCTTGGTTGTCAAGCTGATAAGACAGTTTTGCACGTCACCAAACTTAAAATGCAGAACAGCTGATCAAGTACGGTTGCCGGATAGTTCATGGTCTAATTTCGACCGGATCATTTTTCATTTTTTGATTTGCGAGCAAGATATCGATAAACTTAGATTGGAGGTGCTTATACACAACTTTGTACAATGGACATAATTGGTGGTATGATAATACATGCACTGTGATCATCATCCATGGCTGCCAGGACTGCTTAAGTCTGCGGTGCAATTAGACACCAGTCGAAAATGAAAGCCTTGAGTTAGTGTAATGCAGTCACATCCGAGAACGCAGAGTTCGCAGGGAGAGGTCGGAACTCTCGCATGGTGGTGATGAAGGTTGAGCGTAAAGAGGTGATGCTTGGCAGTGAGGGGCATTGGAAGAGGATGTGCTGAGGGGTTTCAGGCTGGTGGTGGCATGCACGGCACAGTCAATTCCATTGTTCAGTAGTCATTAGGAAGCGAAGTGGGGAGAGCCATGAAAAACATGGGGAATGAAGTCCCCACAGAGTAGCTTGGTGATATGACCGGAGGGTTGTACCCAATTTGTACCCTTTTCTGGTCTGCGCAGCCATGATTCACTTAGACTGCGTGATGTTGCAGTGAAACAGTCCTTCAATTTCAGCTTCGAATTCCTCAGTCAATGGTGATGAACCACTGGATCTTGGTAAGGAAAGATACAGGCTATAAACATACAAGTACATATTGGTCCCCATTGATTTCTGCTGATGGGATTACGATTGTGATTTCTGGATGCAGAGCTGCTCGGATAGTTGGGAAACTCCTTCGCTCCATTTGCTGTTCGATATCAGAAATGGTGGGAGTACATAGTGGACATGATAATTTTTAGGTCTATCAAGAAAGTGTTGATCTAACCACTGCAGGCCACCATTTCGAAATTTGGAGCCAAGAGTAGGGAAAACTATGTACCAAGTACAAGTAATGCCAAGTATTGTATAGTAGTGAATGTATGTATCTTGGATACTGTATTAGTTAGATGTTGCATCGTAACGGTTGTATCAACAGGTGTGTGTAAGTATATCGATATCTTGCTCGCAAAAGCTCGCAAATCGAAAAATGAAAAATGATCTGGTCGAAATTAGACCATGAACTATCCGGCAACCGTAATCAAGTGCAACCCAGTCCGAGCAGACTCAGATTCCCGACAGTCATTATTACAAAGCACAGAAGTTGGTCAGGCTCAATCGCCAAGTGCTGAACGAGTGGCATCATGATGAATTTGCTACGCTGTGGGATTTCTTGCAGAACATCCCTGCAGTCCAGCAAGGAATCAGGGGAAAGAATAATGCTGGAGAAGTTGAGGTCCAAGATGACGAGTCTTACATCAACCTCATAACGTCCTATCTGATCATGGAGAAAGTATTCATGGATTTATTCCCCAAAAAGAGTCCAAAAATAGTTTACTAACAGTAGTTCCATTGTCTGTAAATGCGAAGAGGGGTTGTGGAATGATACAGTAGGATATAGTTCATCTATGTATTTACCTGTATGTAGTTGGATGGTCTCTGAACCACCGAGGTTGACCAGATTGTGCAGGAACCATTGCATTGTCAATGACACTTTAATGGGCCCCCGCCAAATAATCCATTAGCCTCTGTGAATGTTTTGTATTCTACCATCCCATCACTCTTCAGCTAACCCCTTCAATTCCCTTCATTGTTTATTCTCAATAGTTCTTGCTACCCTCGCTTCACGGAGGAATGATGATATTACTATTCCTGTGATACAACACCAATCCCAGTAGTCATCCGAGTGTTCCGAAAGCCCCACAGACCAGCTTATCCCAAGCTGTTTTTGACGGCAACCCTTCTATCCCCAATCCCCGCCAATCCCCCATTCGGATCCCGCCTCACGGAAATCCCCCAAGTCCAAATCCAGATCCTTCATTCACAAGCGAAATGAGCAGAGGTTATATTTCCCTCGAACAACGTACTAGTATTAGTGCGTATCCTCCAACAGAGTCCAAATGACACTCATCTGAAGAGACGCGAGTTTCCAGCACCGCTTGATAGGTATATACATTCGTTGGGTATAGAGTGATAGAGGTGTGATTGAGTGACGGAGTTGTGTTAGTGAGACTTTTGTCTGATACCAGATTTTAGGCGTGTCGCTTTGACATAAACGATCTACGCAACACTATCTCGTTGATCTCAACAAGTGCTCCATGTCATCCTTGTCGGTTTCTGTCTGGAGATCAGGTGGGTGTTGGTAGCGGGGTGGGCGTAGGGGTTAGGCCGGGTTGGAATTGTGTTGTGGTACCGTGGATTTTTTTGGTGAGCTTTATGTCTCTGGGGGTGTAATGTGTGACTGACCTCCAAGGATGGCGAGTTGTTTCGCGCATCGTTGTGCCCACTACGTCATCATCGTCACACCACCTTAACGTGCATCCGATAATACCGCACTGAAACCCCCCGCCATATTTCCTCTCAGCTTCTACAACACATCCCAGGATCTCCCCCTTACTTCCCTGTGCCTCCTGTACAACGCAATCCATCTCCCGAATGTTTGAGTTTGAATTTATCCATCCAAGCGTCGACTCACGGTTACACTCACTGTTAACGCTGGAAGACTTGTTGGGATGTGGAAGACTCTTTGTGTACGTGTTGGGATGGGAGGTTTCTCGGGAGGGATGGCAACGGAGGTGTATTGTGAGTACCAAACAAACAATGTGGAGAAGAGAGACAAAGCAGTCCCCCGCCTTCCTCCATTCAACGCCATCACCCCGAACAAAATCCCCGGTCCACCAATAGACCTCAAATCTTTCCCCCGCGTCCTCATCTTCAGTTCGTTTCATTCCAAAGTACGCAAGCCCGAGAAATCTTGTCCGATACTCTCATCCATGTTGGTGATACAATGCGACTGGTTGTGCCATTCCATGCCATCGTCCGCATTCTTCAATGTAAGCTCTCTCCATCAACATCGTTCTACTCTTCCACTAACGCCCTCTCACAAACTCTCTGTCAACACCCACCTCAGTATCCCCCCCACTCCCCTCCTCATTCCTCACTCCATCCATTCCTCACTTTCACCTTCTCCCTCTCCCACATCCCGTCCTGTTATCCTGTTATCCCTCACCAGCATTCAAGCCTCCACAAATCCCAAACCCAGCCCTCTCTGCTCTCAATACCAACACTCTACATCTCCATCCCATAGGCGCCTCCTTCAGATTCCCAACGACCCCTAGCTCCAACATATTCGAAGCATTCAATATGAGGAAGCATTAATGGGGTAGTGGTAACCTGGGTCATTGCCATTTTCAGTATTTTTCTGATTTCTCTCGACCCGCCGGGGGTTCGATTCCCTCTTAATGCATCAATGAAGTGGTCCATTTCCGCTCCCTTTTTTTGATGTGTTGGTTTGTAAGTTTTTAATGAATGAACTTTTCTCCTCCCTGTACACTTTGTAGAGCTACATGCTTTTTTTTTTCATGTGTTGCATTCGAATTTCACCGTTGAAGCATCTCTCACATATGACAACAACAGTACCAATGTTTACTTAATGATATTGAGTACCCGAGTCTTCGAATTCCTTACTGGCAGACCATGGGGGGTCCAAACTCCAAACATTCAATATTAATTCCAATTGGTCGGTTTTTTGCTCACAACATCTTTGCCGCTAAAATATTCATCAATCAGGTGTCAGCAACTGGTTCTAGTAACAGATGTCACCAGGCATCACACTCAAGAAAATCTCAGATGGTGGGGCGATAAAGGAGGCAAGCAAAGTTCTGGGCTAAACCAGGTAGAATAGACGAGATCAAAGCTAAGGAAATACAGCAAGTAACTACAGTTTATATACGAGTAAACAACCCTCCGCCCTAGTAATGCCCAACGCCCTGGGTTAGTGGTAAACATGAGTAGAACATAAGTAATGTGTAAGTAATGAAAGCTCGATCGTTATGCTGTATACGTGTTGTGAGACTGCTGTGTTTAATATAAGTAAATGAAAAGCGCATGTTGTATCAGTAAGCATAAATAATAGGTCAGGTGACAAGATAAGGCAGAATATAAGATAAGGGATATAGAAGATAAGACAACAGATAAAAGATAAGACAACAGATAAGGAAAAAGATAAGATGGAAAAGAAGTGATCGTAACATTACCCCCCTCTTAAGGCGCGAATTCCATGATGCGCAAGTCGGTTGACAAGTGCTTCAGATGGCATGTTACTTGGGATTGGTTCTATGTTGGATGTAGGGACTGGTCGGAACAATTCAGTGGGAAACTGAGCAATCGGAATCTCAATCCGTTTAAGGACTCGAGGCCTGGGCTTGTTAGGATACTTCTTGTGGAAGTCCTGAACAGCTTCCTTGGCATTCGTCATATTAGCTGCAGGTTCCCACGTCATTTCATGTGGTCCATCCATAACCCTTCCATTTTACCTTGTATTGGATGCCATTCCGATACTTGCGTGAATCAACTACTTCTTCTACCTCGTATTCCTCTTCTTCTCCTACTACTTCTGGAGGTGGTTCGGTGTTTCGGGGTTGTGTCGGGAACTGGGGTTCATGGTACGGGGATAGGTGTGTTTCATTGAAGACATTATGGATTCTTTTCCATGTGCAAGGGATGTCAAGTTTGTAGGAGCCAGGTCTGATCTTGTCAAGAACTTTAAACGGTCCAAATTGTTTGTCACCGAGTTTCTTCATTGGACGATCTGTCATTATGTTAGTTCCTTTGAGCCAAACTTTATCACCAGCATTATATTCTATCGCCTCGTTCCGGTGTTTGTCATATTGGCGCTTCATGTCCTCAGTGGCTTTTTTCAATGCCGATCCCACTTCTTCCCTGATCCATTTCATACTATCAGCGAACTCCTGGGCGGTTGAGTTTTGTGACGTCATCTTTGGCGTAGTTCCTTTGTATGGGTGTCTGCCGTTGTCTGCATAGAAGGGTGAAACTTTTGTAGCTGAATGTACTCGATTGTTGTACGCAAACTCCATCATAGGAAGCCACTTGTGCCAATCGCTCTGATGATGATTCACAAAAAGGCGGATGTAATGTTCGATTTCTTGATTTATCCATTCCGTCTGGCCATTAGTCTGAGGATGGTATGCAGTTGTATAGTTGCTTTCGATTTCCAGTAACTTGTACAGTTCCTTCATGAAGCGGGTGTGGTACTGAGGGCCGCAATCGTGGATGATCTTTCGGGGCATTCCATGGACTGGGAATACTTTGTCACGATAGACATGTGCCATTCCTTCAGATGTTATCGTAGTATGTGTGGCAAAGAGTCGCAACCTCTTTGTGAAGTGATCGACAAACACGCTGATGGCATTATATCCTCCAGACTCTGGTAATTCGCCAATCATATCTGTTCCAATGATTTCCCAAGGCTCAGATGGTACGTCATGTGGATGTAACGGTCCTACAGGCTTGGTACGATGTGTCTTTGTAGCTTGACATTTTTCGCAGCCTTCCACGTAGATCCTGACGTCTCGACTAATTCCTGGCCACCAGTAGTTGCGTGTAATCAACTCAATAGTTTTATAGCGGCCGGGGTGTCCTGCTGTCTGGGCGTCATGATGTGCCTGTATGATCCGTCCTCTGAGTTCTTTGTCCTTAGGTACATAGATGCGTCCTTGCCAAACTGCTAGTCCGTCCTCAGTTTCAAGCCATTCCTTGTCTTTAGACTCAAGAGCAACCTGTTAGACTCGAGGGCAACCTGTACTAACTTGTCTCACTGATTTTTCTTTCTTCGGATGAAATTAAGCAGATCATCTTCGGGGGCAGATGTCTGATCCGTTATCTGAGAAATGAAAAAGTCCGGTTTTAGTAGTGTGATGTTGGTATTGTCGTTCTCCCCTTTCTCAAGGCCTGACATCCGTAACAGGGCATCAGCTTTTCCCATTGACTTCCCAGGCTTATGGAAGAGTTCAATATGGTATTCAGCAATTTCAACTACCCATCTGGCTTGTCGTCGGTTCAACTTCTGAGGTTTCTGGAAATAATGGAGATTTTGGTGATCTGTGAAGACTTCAACAGGTTCTTTTGCACCCAGCAAGTACTGCCTCCAGTCCGAGAGGGAGTCCATGATGGCCATCATCTCTTTGTCGTAAATTTCATAGTTCCGTTCAACCTCATTGAGTGACCTGGCCCTGAAAGCTACCGGTCTCCACTTTCCATCGACGTTCTGTGACAGGACTGCACCATTAGCGTAGTCAGAGGAGTCGGCTTCAACTCGGAACTTTCCAGCTTCCCTTGGGATAATGAGAGTGACGTCTTCGATGATCCGGTCCTTCAACTAATCGAATGCATCCTGTTCGAGAGATGTCCATTCCCAAGTCGTATTCCCTGTGAGTCATGTTAGGGGTTTGGCAATTTCACTGAAATCTCAGATGAACCGGCAGAAGAAGTTGCAAAACCCTAAAAACGATTGTAGTTCACGTTTTTTCTCTGGTGGCTGCCAGGTTCAAACTGCTTCAACCTTTTTTGGGTCCATCCGGATTTGTCCATTGCCTACGATGATTCCGAGATATTCGACCTCCTTAGCCTCAAAGGTACATTTTTCGGGTTTCAAGTACAGCTTATTGGCTTTTAGGATATCAAGAACCTTTCTGACAATGACTTGGTGTCTCTCAATGTTGTCCGTGAAGATAAGGATATCATCCATATAAACAATGACATGTCCTTGATCAATAAGTTCTCGAAGGATGTGATTCATGAAGGCTTGGAATGTGGTGGGTGAGTTTGTAAGTCCGAAAAACATGACTGTAGGCTCAAACAAGCCTCTGTTTGTCCGGAACGCTGCCTTCCATTCGTCTCCTTCTTTAATCCGGATGTTATTGAATCCCCATCGGACATCCATCTTGGTGAAGATTTTTATCAATGAGTTCCTGAATCAACGGGAGTGGATATCAATTTTTGACAGTCATGTCATTTAGCTTTCGATAATCCTGTACGGGCCGTAGTGTTGTAAGACCTGGGTCAAAATAGGTCTTAGGATAGGTGTTGGTATGAAGAGTTTATGTTGTAGCGTGCTAGGAGCAGGCTGGAGCTCGAAGGGAGCTACGGAAACCGCGACCGAGGATGGGAATGACCTAGTAGTGGCGGGGATTGCAAGATGTGACCCTTGGAGGGGTTCCTGTAAGGTCCAGGGAGGTCCCTAAGGCGTGGGTAGAGGAGGTAGAGGTACGGAACCTAGTAATGTTGTGTAGGAGGAGTTGTACTCGCTAGAACGTCAACGTAAGGTCGAATAGGTCTCAAGTGGATAAGCTCCTGAGAAGATATACGCCCGGGAACTGGGGGTTCGAGGTGGACGTCCTCAAGTATTGGAGGTGGTAACGGAGAAGCGACACGTAGTTCGACGTAGGGGGTCGCTTCGACATTACTTAGATTGAGGTCCCAGAGCTCGTGGAGCAATTGGGGAGCTCAGGGAGGTTTTGGGGAGGTTAGCTCACCAAGGCGTTAGGCGTTGGGGAGCTTTAGTATTGTTTGAGGGTGTTATATGCATGCAATTCAAACCATACACTTCCCGGCCCGGCCCGGAGCGGCCGGACTTCGGAATAATCACCTTGTGACCTATTTATTATTCCGAGCTTTCATCGAGGTCTTATGACTGTATTTTGGAGGTATATAAGCTAGGATACTTTGTACGTTGTAGTCAAGCTTGAAATCAAGTGTACCACCTTATCCCACTCTTTAATATCTCCTTTACCTTTACTTCTGAACTATTCCGGACTCCCGGATCACAGGAACCCAACCTAGGCAGCTCATCTTGACATTATATTCCCAGGGACACAACAGTGTGTGAAGGGTGTTGCTAATAGCTTCACCGACGTCCCACTCCCAGTGTGTACTACAGGCCAGTACTCCACCTCGGAGTTATGCCGGGCCATTTCCGGCCCATATCCGACCTCGGAGCCTCTATAGTTATTGACCTGTAGGCACAGTCTTGTCAGAGGGAGCTCGGAGACTCACTCGGATTGCTTAAACGTGTAGTAAAAGCGTGTATTTGATCGTATAGATGATTGGAGAGACAGTAGACGAGAGTAAAGCGAAATTGAGATAGAGAAACAGAGAGTAAAGAGAATTCCGTATGGTTAGCAGGTACAAAGGGACAGGGACTGGACCTATGTAAAGGGTGTGTGTTCAAAATATACCAAGCTGGGGCTTGGGGACATTACGGAGCTACTTAAATAGGTACGGGAAGTGAACAAGGGAACATCAGGGGATCTAGAGGACATGAGGCATATAATCGAGAGAGGCAGGTGATCGAGATCAGTACTTGATGGGGTTAGAAGTAGGAGGGTTTCATACGCGTGTCGGGATGATTGTCAAGACGTTTTGGTAGGTACCTCAGGGAGGTGGAGG